CACACACACACACACACACACACACACACACACACACACACACACACACACACACACACACACACACAGCATTAGAGAGGATAAAAAAAATATTGTCTATGACAGGTACATTTTTGCAGGATTCAAAAGCCACCAGGCTGGACAGTTGTTCTTGTGAGTTTCTATTATTTTATGCATCAGATAGTGCTAATCGCACCTTTCTTGCGGCACGGCGAACCAATACTCTGGCTGCTTTCCGCGGCTGCCAAAGGAGTGGGCGGGACAAGAAGTTGTCCCAGTAGCAAAGGATTTCCTCATTGGCTTTCCCACTTTGAAGCAGAGGAACATGGGAGGGTTTTTACTCTTCTCCTCTGATGAAAAAAGCATGTCTATAGAGAATCAGAAAATAAAAAAGCTTGGTTAATTGTAGGTCACACTGTCACAGTGACTTATATCCTACTACCACCAGGAGTCAGCAGAGTCTAAAATATTCAAATACTGCATATTAAACATGTAAAGGGATCAACCTTGAGAGAGGAACTACAGGACCTGTGATTATCTGTTCATGGATTAAATATCTGTATAATAGTTTTTACCTTCTATTGGAGCCTGCATCCGCTCCATCAGCCACGACTTCACCTCTGCTTCATAGCTTTTCTTCCGTCTCTCCTCCTCACTGAGTTCAGCCCCCTCTGCTGGTCTTTCTGGACCTGAGCTCCTACAAACCTCTGCAGCCTCGGTCAGACTCAGCCTACTGCTTTGGTCCACCGATGTGCTGAGTATTTTGTCATCTTCATTGTTTAGCAGCTCCTCTGTCCCTTTAGGTTTCATATCTTTGGTTTTGGTCGCCTCTTGGTTTGAAGGTTTATCAAGTAAGTCCCCCTGTTTTTCAGTCTCCGAGGAGGATTGTATTGACTCTCCATCCTCAATGGAGCCATTCTGAGCTACACCTTCGTCCTCTTCATCATCAGGCTTCCCTTTAGTTTGAGCCAGCATCGACTTGTTCTCAGTGTCTCCTCGACCGGGGCAGCCTGGTCCTAGGAGTTTCTGATGGTCCCCACTGACGATCCCAGATGTTCTGGAAGACGTTCCCTCTGCTTCTTCAGTGCTTCCATTGACTGTCTGCTCCAACTCTGTGAATCCTTCATCTGATGGAGACTTTTCTGTCTCCTCCTCTACTGCACTCACTGGGAATGAGAAGATAAATCAAGGTCTGTTTAAGCTCAAAACAAATAAAAGCAGGAAACACTGTTGTTTAGTAAATCAGAGTTAAAAGACATAAGCCATATTAACTATCATTTGGGGAATGGATGACGTGATTTTACCAGTTTCGGAGATGGCTGATTCAATTTCATCCAGGATGATAGGTCGCTTTGGATCCAGAGCTTCGTATCGGCTAAAGGGGTTTAGTTCCCGCTCTGACAGCAGCTGCTCCCACTCACCGGGCCTGTACACAGGACACAGATCCTGGGGTCTGTCTCTGTGGGGTCACCGGGCACCACACACACCGCACAGCAAACGAGTTATGGGAATGAAAAGAGAAAAAACACAAAAAGGGGGACAGGTCCAACAGAAATTAAAAATGACCATGAAGAACTCAGGAAACTAAAATGAACAAATACGATGTAAAACAGCAAATAATTGAAAACACATGAAATGAAAACATAAAAACTGTAAAATAAAAAAATAAAAACCAAAAAAAACTAGAATCTGAAAGAGATATTTTAAAACTTGGATCTTTTTGGGACAAGATGGATCACAAAAAGAGAAGTGGTGGTAAAGAGGTGAAAAGCTCAAGAAACAGTTTTATTATTGACAAAAATAGGGGCGAGAGGATGTGAGGGAGATGTTTGGCGGCTCTTACGATGGCAGGGCATCTTTGAGCTTCATGCGCGAGACATCGTTGTACAGCGCAACAGAGACGACCTCCTCCATAGGGCAGATGAGGCCGTACTCCTCGCAGCCGTGCTCGATCACCAGGGGGTCTGACTTGTGGGGGTCAAACATGATGTTGTTGGGTGTCACAATCAGCACACCTCCCACCACCCCCTGCAAGATCAAAACAACACACGGAGAGATTTGTGGTCAATAACGACCCACAGAAAAGAGTGGTTCCTCCTGGGAAATATCAATCAATTCACATATTAACAGCATAATGCTTGTATTAATTGATTGGTAAATAAAATGCAAAAAAACAAGGTTCAATCGAATCACAAAATAACAGTATTATTACTGATATTATTACTGTGTTTCTCAGGCGTCTCACCATGCCATCAGTGAAGTATTTGCAGCTCATCTTGATGAATTTAACCGTGGAAGGACTCTCGTCTTCTGAGTTTGGGGAGAGCTCCCGTCGGATGGACCTCGCTGACCTAAAGTTTGAAATGGCATCCTGTTGGACATATAAAAAAAACACAAACAGGTCAGAGATATGAAGTTTTTCTCTGGTTTAGCTTGAATTAAGTGTGTACACACTTGACCATGCAATTTTCAGTTTTTGTCTTTTACTTAAACAGATTCAGACATTTTAGGCCACCAGAGCCAGACTAGGTAACCAGGTTACTTTTTCACTTGAATGTTAAATGCTGGTAGATTCAAATACCTCCTGTTTTTATATTTTTGTGGCCAGAATTTAAGCATGAGAGGGGGACAGAGAGCGGGGGAAGTCGTGCTGTAAACCCTATTGATCTAATTACCCCTGATAAAACAAACAGTATCATCTAATGTTGATGCTTTATTAATAGTAATTCTGGCTCAGCTCAATATGAGGAGGTGCCAGGCTTTATTGCCTTTATAACAAACCTGTCCGTCACTGCCACTGTAAACTACAACATAACGTAAGCAACAAAATAAATCTGTTTTTCCACTTACATGTGACGGTTTCTCAGAGAGGCCTTGTGAGAATGTGGGATGAGAGGAACTCGGAGACTTTAAGTCTGTTTCTGATTGACTCTCATCGGGGACAAACAGCTTCTGTAGTGGGGACAAACCACCAACGATCAGCCAGAGAGACCAGTAAACCAGAGACTGAAGCAGAATAATGTGGCGTCAGTGCTCTCACCTGTCCAGGGTAGACGCTGCGGGAGAAGAGCTTGTTCAGCTGGACCAGTTTGTTTGGGGTGATGTTGAACTTAAGAGCGATGCTATTAAGTGAATCATTGGGTCCCACCTGAAATAAGAAGATAAACTCCACTGAGAAAATACTACATGATGCAGTCGATGACGTTTCTGTCAGTCAGAAACATGTGATTCAAAGTCTATCAGTGTAATGTTACTCACAATGAACTCCACTGTTCCTGGCGGCCCTCTCTTCTCCCTCTTTGTCTGATTGTTACTTTTACAGCCATCATCTGAGAGAGAAACAGAATTACAGATGTTGCAAATGGAGGATGACATCAAACTGATGATAACATCATGGGGAACTAGAATGGCCATCAGACGAATACAGACCTCCACCAAGGCCCAGCAGTCCCTTTTAATTCAATATGGCTGCACGAAATTTCACACACTCACAGATATCAGTTCGCTAAATGTAGCTTTATTTTTTTCATGAAGATCCATGAGCTGTTCTCTGTAAAACTTGTGTTTGTCCAGATTTACACAAAGAATTTTATGGGTTCTTTTTTGCTGCATCCATTTGTGTAATCTGCCGACAAACAGACAGAAACCCCTAACCTCCTTGGTGAAGATAAAAGACTATTCCTGAAAATAATACATGTCTCTCTCTCTCTCTCGTAGTACACAGGGAGCACAGTCAGCATTTCTTCTTGCCAAGAACACAGAAGCCATTAGCACCACTCCCTGCTGTCTCATTACACTGCTGTTGCCCCCCCCACGGAAACAGAGACCATGACTAAGCATCAGACAACCCAACTCCTGATCTTCATATTGTACTGAGCCTCAGAGACCAACCACTGACAGTGAGACTGGTATCAGTGAATTAAAACTGTGCTGGGACCACTAGTATACAGTGAATATAACCTAGAGAGATTATATCATACTGATATGATGAGCTGCAGGTAATGATGGTGAAGTTTTATTAAAATAAATACTGTAGAGGTTACACATCTGATACTGAGGGAGTCTGTAATGATAAGAGATTTTATGGGCCAAGTTATATTCATTCTGCGGCAAACCTGGATTTAGTTGATGTTGGTTTATTATAGCTAGAGCCTGATTGATTTATTGGTTGACTGATAAAAAATGGCCGAGATTAGCCTATCACAGACATAGTGTTACCAGTGTTTGTTTGTGTAGTAAAAACATGTATTTTACATTTAAAAAATATATTTTATTAACTTAAGTTCTATATATTGGGTTGCATTTGTGTTTTACTTTCCTTAATTGGTCTGGCTCAGATTAAAACCATTTTCAGTTCGGTTTGAAAAACTCCCAACACTAAAAAATATTTTCTTTCACTATGAAGAATTATATTTGAAACTGCCAATGTCTCAACTTGGATTTTGTATAATTTGATGCAGAAATGAAGGAGATTATAGTGTTTGACTTGTGTTTGAACACTTGAACTCTTTGTTCTTACAGTGGTTAAAATGTCATCGTGTGCTGGAAGACAGCAGAAGATAAAGGTTATGTAACTTCCTGTTTGACACTGCTGAGATTTTCGTCACATGGTTCCCAACACTGACATTGACATGAGGACTCTTCTGCTGTGAATCAGTCAAAGGAGAATCACTTTAGCAATATATAAAAAAACATTCCACCAACACCACTGTAAACTGTTGCTGTCCAAAAGAAGGAAGTTAAAGGGGGAAAACTATTTTTTAAGACAATGAAAATTCCCCTAAAATTATACTATGACGAGAATATGTCTGACTTCATTATTACTTCCAGGGGTTTTACCAGGTGATTTTTGTAGCCCGACCTCATCGATTAATAACCTAATATTTATAGTTAGTTGTAAAATAATCGTTCATTAATTGTAATCGAGGTAAAAGTTTAAAATAATCCTGATATTGATTTGAAGTAATATCACACAGCCCTACTTTGTAACGTTATAAGTATATAGGCCCAATTAGAAGCTTCAGGGTGAGTTCAGTTTACTCATATCATGATGCATTAACTCCCTGGCGGAGGTTATTTTCTCAGTGCCTTTTGTTTGTCCGGCTGTTAACAGGATCGCACAAAAGGCTACAGAACTGATTTTGTTGAAAAGTGGTGAAAGGATGAGTCATGGGTAATAGAAGAACTCAGACAAAGGGGCGGATCCAGGAATTTTTCCATCACTTTCTTCAACATTGCGAGATCCGTTTTCTTTTTTTCTTTTTTTAGATCTTCACTGTTTTCTCTGGGACTAATTCATGGATCTGGATGAAAAAACGATGAATGATAGCTTAGAGTGTGTGTTAAGGGAACTATTGGGCCTTGGCCCAGGTCTTACCTGAGGCTGCGGCCGGTTTTGTTGCGATTCTCTGTAGGTCCGTCTTCTTGTTGGGGTCACCGATATGTGGGACGTCTGGACAGGTGATGATTGCTGGGCTCTGCTCATTCACATTCTTGTCTGATTGGCTCTGCTTGAGCTGTCGCCGCCTCTTCAGCCTGATGGGACGGAGAAGCATTTGTTTACAGCCACACGACATAAGATAAAAAATACAGCAATGTAGATGGAAATTTGATCACTCAAGGCTGATATCAACATAGAATTTGAATGAACGTGTGCACATGTGTAATATAAAACTGCTTTCAGTTTAATCTAAACTAATTAAATGTGTTTATTGTGAGCTCTAGTATACTGGGTAAAAAAATGGTTTTCTCTGGTTTTCCTCTGTATCAGTGTTGATGCAATTTTACATAGATTTTTCAATAAACCATTATCTACAATCACCAGGCTCCACATGCTTGTTTACTGTCTAAAGTGTAACACACTCCAGTTGTGAGTTCAGATCTTCTGTCTAAGTTCTGCTGTTGTTACAACATTGTGCTTTTTTTTCTCTTTACTTTGCAGAGTCAGCTGTATTTTCCTCCCAGACTGCCCCCCCCGGTTTAATCATTGTTAGGTAAGGGGAATTATGTAATGGCGTCTCCAGACCCTGTTGAGGTTCACTGAGGGGGGAACACTGCAGTGCAGGGCAGTGGAACTACATGTTAGTGGTGCACTTAAGAATATTGCACCCTCTGTGAGACCCACTGAAACCTCGAGCGTGGACGTGAGTATGCTCGGTAAAGATAAGGCCAAATTGCTGTATCAGATGCAGTGAGTGGCAGGGGGTAGTGATGAAGAAAAGAAAAGAAAAGTGAAGAGAAAAGTGTCTGAAGTGTTTGAGAGCCTTAATGGAGCGGCAGGACCGGGTCGATAAGGCTGCAGACAGACAGAGCTCAGGCCTCTCCCACTGCCTCAGGTCAGTCTCCCACCGACGTGACGCACATCTGGCAGTGAGCTCAGGAATCTGCAGATACATTCCCAAACCCACCATCTGTTACACTGCAGGGAATTTTCTCCAAAATCACTCCCACCTTACTCACTGTTCAACCTTAACGTGAACCATTCCTGGCATAATGACTCAAGGTTCATTAGGAGGGGACATATCATCCCAGGAAAACCCAGGATTTTCTAATCCCAGATAGTTTTCGAACTCTGCTCCAGAAACTAAATGATTATAGACACATGCTTTAAGAAAGCGATCTCTATATCTCTCTGTGTTATGTGCTGGAGGGATAAGAAAAACGATGACTTCTGCTTTAAAAACTGGGATTCACAGTGATCAAAACAAATGCTGCTGAAACCACACAACTGGTGGCCATTGCTGGACCCAATTAGCGTCATTGTTTTCAGTGTTTTCAGGTCATTTTGAGTCTCACATCTGCAGCTATTTTTTTTGTAAAATTAATCTCTTCAACCACAATTTTCTAAAAGACACTTGAAAATATTTACTCAAGTTGTTTCTGTATTGCAGCATTTATTTCACACCCTTATTTCTAATGCCCACAAAGTCTTAAGACTCAGATGTTCCTCTCTGTTTCAGTGTCTCATTCATATCTTAAAATACTGGCCATGATCACATGGGATCTTTCTCAACAGCCATTAAACCTCCACTAGTGAAATCACCACGGCAACAAATACTTCATGCGCAGGGCCTCTGTGTCTCTGAGCACCCTCATCTTTCTCAAAGTGTGTGTGTGTGTGTGTGTGTATGTGTGTGTGTGTGTGTGTGTGTGTGTACCCGCAATCTGCTCTACATAAATGTAAAGCTGCTACATATTCTTTCAATTCATAATATTTCAGAAAAGGATTGACCGTAGCCTTATTGTAACTTTGTCTTCCGGATGTAGTTTTTTCTTGAGACTAGTCTTTAGTTCTGATGTTCTGTGAAAACATTTTTAATATCTTGACTTTCAGTCTTTTAAAATAAGGAATCCTGTGAAACTAAAATTAGGTTCAGTTCGGGCTTATTGACTTTTACAAATTATGTGTGCCTCTAAATGACCTTTGTTCCATATGTCAGGAAGCAAAGCACCATATGTTGCTAGTAGCAGCTGGCCTACATGTTAAAGCAGAAGCTGTGTTGTGAGATAAACTTTATTTCCCTTCCTGACACAGCCTCTCTGTCCATACATCTGCACGAATCTGATGTGTTCAGGTTCCACCTTTTCACAGTTGTTTTGCTGCGCACTTCCACAGATTTGCCACATTTCCTTTGTCAGATTAAAACACCATCCCTAACGCAAAGCCTGAATCCTATTAAGATCTAAAACACCGCTAGTCTAATAATTAGAGGGTGTGATGCCATTACAAAGTCACTTCCCTCTATAATGGAATATTTATAACATGAGCCAATGAAATGAGGGAAAACATTGAAGACAAATTGCAGGTTTGTAGCCGCCTGTCAGGGCAGCCTGAGCCAGTAACCTGAGACATAATAAGAAAGACTGAAGCCCATTAGGCTGCACCCCCTCACAACATCCATCAAGTCCATTGTCAACATCTTTGCTACTGCAGCATATTCACCTAATGCTTTTCCACACTCACTTGTGTGTCTGGATTTGGCAACATCTCATTCCTCTGCCTAGATGTTTTAATTTTTACGAAAGCAAAAACCCCACCCATTTTAAAGCCTAAAAACAAACGGGTCAGGTAAAGAAGTGATGAATCTAAATGAAGCTGATTTTAAGACACGTTCAAACCATATTACATTAAATCCTGTTCATCCTCTTTCATTCGACACCTGCAGGTCATCCATGCTGACACACCTCGTCTGTGCAGACGTCAGAGAGTGTGCTTCACCTGCCAATTCTTTCCTCAGTCTACACACCGTAGCTGTGACAAGCCTCTTTACACGCTCATTTCCTGCCATCGTGTTTTACAACTCCGCAGAGATCCAGTTTTAAGGTCAGGACCATCCCAGTGGGTCGTGACATGTGAGTGGAACACTGACGCAGGATTATAAGAGGCTGTATGAACTGGGCACCTCGACAACAGAACGTCACGGCACAAATGAAAGTGCACTTGAAAAAAAAGCGCTGCACAAAGAACAGATCCTTTATAGAACGATTTTGGACTTTACACTTTAACACGTAATGAATAAATAAAGAAATAAATATCACAGTTTGACCCACAGAATACAACTATATTGCTATGATATGCAATGTGCCTGCCCACGTATACTTATATTACTGGCAATACCGCTATCATTGCAAATGTTTATGCTGTTCCTCCTCCCACTCATCTCTGTCAGACATTTTGTTTTTGTATAAATAAATTAAACATTGATGTCCCTCTCCATTTCTGCCAGTCACGGTCTCTTCTTGTGAATGTTGTAAATGGTTTTATTGATGTGCTCTGTTACACTCTGCATCTATTGCAGTGAGGGATCCCTCACTTGCAGCTCTCTGATGTTTCTGTGGGTTAGTTTCCTTGTTAAATGTTTTTTTTTGTGGTAGTTTTCACTCACTTTATTTGAGGGTTAAGGACAGAGTATGCCACACATTGTTAAGCTCTATGAGGCAAATTGTGGTTCGTGAAAATGTGATATACGAGTTAATTATGATTGATTGGTGATGGTATACCTGGCAACTGGAGCTGTATGTCAGCTGGAATTCTGATATTGTGCGATTTATTTAAGAAATATTACTGGTGAGGATTTTCTCCTAATGAGGTTCTGATGACAGACGCTCCAGCATAAGACTGTACATTCCTCCGAGGCAAACGTGATTTTTTTGATTTTGGGTTTTATGAATAAAATGGACTTGGACTATGGACGCAATCAATCACAAGTATATAAAGTGGTGGTTAAGAACTAAATAAGAGCTAAATGCCAGGACTACACATTAGTCACACAAAAAAATAATAACACAATTTAATTCATGTGTGTATTGAAATTCAAATCTAATTCATGCACAGAAATCATCCCTTACCTGGCAAAGTATCCCGGCTTCCTGTCTCTCTTTTCCATCAGGCCAGGCTCCTAAACGTGCATGCAGCCAAGTCCATCCATGCACACACACACCTACCAGCCCACTCTGTGTCCAGGCCAAGAAAGACACAACTTTGGGAAGATCACCACCTATTTGTTGCCCTGCAGAGGAGAGGAGAGGGGGGGGGGAGGAGCAGGAGGCGACGAGCTGTGCGGTGTTTAGAAAAGAGAAAGAGTTGAGTTAGTTACAGCTGCAGCTTCGTGTCATCACCGAGCTCTGCTG